AGTTCTCTGTCAATATACTGCTGCAACCGTTTTTGAATTATCTTCAGTAAGATCTTACTTGTGTGTGATATTAATGATATTGTTCGATAATTTCCCCATTCTGTGGGATCACCTTTCTTTGGAATGAGTACAAATATGGATCTCTTCCAGTCAGTTGGCCAGGTAGCTGTCTTCCAAGTCTCTTGGCACAACCAAGTGAGTGCCTCCAGTGTGGCATCCATTGTTGAAATATCTCAATGGGTATTCCATCAGTTTCTGGAGCCTTATTCTTTGCCAATTCCTTCATTGCAGCTTCAAATTCCTTCTTCAGTACCATTGGTTCTAGATCATATACCACCTCCTGAAATGGATCAAGACTGACCAGGTCTTTTTGGTACAGTGACTCTGTGTATTCCTTTCATTTTCTTTTGATGTTTCCTGCATCATTCAATATTTTGCCCATAGAATCTTTCAATATTGCAACTTGAGGCTTAAAGCTTTTCCTCAATTCTTTCAGCTTGAGAAATGCCGAGCATGTTTTTCACTTTTGGTTTTCTAACTCCAGGTCTTTGCACATTTCATTATAGTAATTGGCTTTATCTTCTCAAGCTGCTCTTTGAAATCTTCAGTTCAATTCTGTTATCTTGTCATTTCTTCCATTTGCTTTAGCTACTCTCTGCTCAAGGGCAAGTTTCAAAGTCTCCTCTGTCATCCATTTTAGTCTTCTTTTGTTGTCTTTTTAGTGACCTCTTGCTTTCTTCATGGATGATGCTCTTGATGTCATCCCACAATTCTTCTGGTTTTCGGTCACTGGTATTCAATGCATCAAATCTATTCTTTAGATGGTCTCTAAATTCAGGAGGGATATATTCAAGTTCATATTTTGGCTCTCATGGACTTATTTTAATTGTCTTTAACTTCAAGTTGAACTTGCACATGAGCAGTTGATGGTTTGTTCCAGAATCAGCTCCTGGCTTGGTTTTGGCTGAAGATATTGAGATTTTCCATCACCTCCTGCAACAGATGTAGTCAGTCTGATTCCTGTGTGTCCCATCTGGCGAAGTCCACATGTACAGCTACCGTTTGTCTTGTTGAAAAAGGTATTTGCAATGAATAAGTCTCTGGTCTTGCAAAATTCTACCATGCGAGTTCCAGCATTATTTCTGTCACCAAGGCCAAATTTTCCAACTACCGGTGATTCTTCTTTGTTTCCAACTTTTGCATTCCAGTCACCAGTGATAATTAACACATCCTGATTGCATATTCTGTCAATTACAGACTGCAAAAGTTGATAAAATTCTTCAATTTCCTCATCTTTGGCTTTGGTGGTTGGTGCATAAATTGGAATAATAGTCGTATTAATGGGTCTTCCTTGTAGGCATATGGATATTACCCTATCATTGACAGCATTGTACTTCAGGACAGATCTTGAAACATCCTTTGTGATGATGAATGCCACACCATTCCTCTTTAAACTGTCATTTCCAGCATAGTAGATCATATGGTTGTTTGATTCAAATTGGCCAAAACCAGTCCACTTCAGCTCACTAATGCTGAGGATATCAATCTTTATGCATTCCATTTCATTTCTGACAACTTCAAATTTTCCTAGATTCATACTTCGTACGTTCCATGTTCCGATTATTAATGGATGTTTGCCACTGTTTCTCCTCAATTTGAGTGGTGCCACGTCAGCAAATGGAGGTCTCGAAAGTTTTACCTTACCCATGTGAGTAAGGCTGCTTTTACTCTGCTAATGCAGGTCTTGCCCAGTCCTATTTTGAGAGCTTTCTAACCTAAGTGATTCATCTTCCTCCTCTGTTTTGGACAATGTTTCCAGACTATTCATAAAATTGTGCAGTAATGTATCAGACAGTGTTTCTCTGCTATTCATAAGGTTTTCCCTGGCCAATTCTTTGAGAAATGGATGGTCTCTTCCTTCTTCCTAGTCTGTCTCAGTCTGCAAGCCAGTCAGATACCTGTGCAACATGTGCACCCCACTGGGTTTGAAACACCAATGGCACAGCCTCAAGACTCACAGCAACACGTCACCACAGTAGGACAAACTGACAGACAAGTTGTCTCCCTTAGCTGTTGGAAACCTCTCCAACCATCCTTACATGGATCCCTGTGGCTGATTCCTCGCTCTGATGCAGTCCCCTTGGCCTTTTCTGTCCTTTCCCTGCTTGCCCGCCTTGCCACTTGGGGGCATGGCCTGGTTTCCCTCTCCTCGCCTGGATCCCTGCGGCTGACTCCTCGCTCTGTCCCAGTCCCCTTGGCCTTTTCTGTCCTTTCCCTGCTTTCCGGCCCTATCATTTGTGGGGCGTGGCCTGGGTTCCCTCTCCTCACCTGGATCCCTGTGGCTGACTACTCAGTGTTCTGGTCCCCTTTGCCTTTTCTGCCCTTTTCCTGTTTTCCTGCCTTGTCACTTGTGGGGCATGGCCTGGGTTCCCTCTCCTCACCTGGATCCCTGAGACTGACTCCTCGATCTGTTCCAGTCCCCTTTGCCTCCGTCCTTTCTCTGTTTTCCTGCCTTGTCACTTGTGGTATATGACCTGGGTTCCCTCTCCTGACCTGGATCTCTGCGGCTGACTCCTCCATCTATTCCAGTCCCCCTAAGTATCTTTACTAACCTTAAATGATTCACTGAAAAGTAAGTGCAGAAAATTAATAGGTTTCTGATAATAGAGATTAATAAAATAATAATCATTATTATCTTGAATGGACCATCCTCTCTGAAATTCCATAACTCCATACAAGTGATGATGGACAGTTGCTAATTACCTCAAAGACTAAAACAAAAATGGATTTTTAAAATAAGCAATAAAGACACCTTTCATGTGCACGCTGTACTTCAAGGATGAATATACCTGCTTTGCTCCTCTGTGTGGGGCTTCTGTAAGGTCTGATTGAGCTGAAAAGTGGACAGGAACCTCTCCATGGGCCCTGGATCCAGCAAATCAAGCTGCAGTTCTGGCTTCTGATCAATGGCCTTGCATACCATGGCCAAAGATGCCATACTAAACACTTTCTGCATCTGTCTACCAAGTGTTGGTTCCTGAGAAGGAAATGTAACCATTTTCACTTTAACATAAGCAATTCTTAACTTGTAAGAACTCCAGAAAACTTATGTCCTTATTTTCCCTCTTTGTGCCTGCTACTGAACATCACTGGAAATAAAAGGGAATCCAACACAAGTCACTCAGTTGTACCCCTTCTCCACAGATGTGATGACAGACCAGAGGTAAAGAAATTTAAAGTGGCAATAAAAACTCAGCAATTCAGACTAAGAGGACAATGTGATTTCTTCACTTGACAAATTAGCTACATATAAACCCAAAGCTGCATGTGAATAAGTACTACTCAATCTTTTTCCTACTCACCTGTACACAACATTCCTAAAAGTAAGTATTATTTTTACTGTAGGGCTGAAATATTATTTTGGGGGAAAAAAAGCCTTCAGGTTACAAATAATTCCTTGAATCAGCGGTAACTCTACTTTTGGAGAGGTAACACAGCAAAGCAATTAAGAACACAGGCTCTGGAATCATCTGCTCTAGATCTGAATCCTGGCTCTGCATGTACTACCAGTAACTGTGGACATACTGGGCCTTAGTATTCTTAACTATAAAATAGGAATCATAACAATAATAATACATAAGAAATATATATAAGAATATATATAAGGAATATATAATAACAGTATATAACTTCATGGAGTTTTGGGGAAGATTAAATAAATGGGTAATTTCACATAAAGCATTCGGAACTCTACGTGTAGAAGCACAAAGGAGGAGTAACCAAGAAAGTGTGGGTTCATACTTAAAGAGAAAAACAAATTATAACCAGGAAACAAGAAGTGCTGGGAAGATTCTAGACATAGAAAGTAGCTGTAAGAAGCTACACGTGCTAGTAAAACCCTGGAAAACCAAAGAAATCCTCTCAAATATTACCAACCAGTTAATATCTATTCCAAAAGGGAACTGAATTTACTTATTCTAAACCTTTTTCTATCCCCCAAAAAAATAAACCAAGTAAGTATCTCTACAGATAAATTTTACATAGCAACACTGCCAACATATAAAATAAAATTTAGTATTACCTAGAAGGCAATTAGGAGCTCTGGTAGCATAGTGGCTAAGACACTTGCCTGCTAAGCAGACGGCTGGCGGTTCAAACCCACCAGCCACTCCTTGGAAGGAAGGTTGGGCAATCCTACTTCTGTAGTGATACTGCCACGGAAACCCAAGGAGGGGTCGCTGTGAGTCGGGTTTGACTCGATGGCACATAACAACAACAACAAAAGAAGGCAATTATGGCCCCTGATAACATTAATGTAATTCAGTGAATTACTAAAGAAAATAAGTCAATTCTTAAGAATAAAAATTACTGTGGCATGATTCATGATTTTGTTCTATACTCAAAACTCACAATATCTTTTCATAACACTAACAGACCAATAGGTACTAGAGAGGATGCTGAAATGTCAGTAAGTCCTCTTTATTATTTCCCTTTAGGATAAACCAAAAACCAAACTCACTGCCATCGAGGCAATTCCAATTCATGGCAACCCCCTTTGGGTTTCCAAGGTGGCAAATCTTTACAGAAGTAGATTGGCCAGTCTTCCTTCCATGGAGTGGCTGGTAGGTTTGAACCACCAACCTTCTGGTTAGCAGTAAAATGCCTTAGGCACTATGCCACCAGAGCTCCTTCCCATTAGGATGATCCTTGAAAATTACTTTCTAATTTGTTTTTATTAGTAGCCCAAACTAGGTATGATTCAATTTAATTTTACTGGACACATACCATGTATAAATGAAAACAGTTAACATTTACTGAGGACAGGCAACTGTCTAAATATTTAACACGCATAAGCTTGCTTTAATTCTCACTCAACCCTATACTTCCCAATTTGCCAACATGGTAAATGAAGCAGAGAGAGTAATAAAAGCTAACGGAGAAGACATATATACATAATGTACTCCAAAAACAAGCAGGATGGAAATAAATACCAACAGGAAAATGGAAGAAAGAATGAGACACTAACTCAAGAAGGCCTCTAAGAGAATATGTGATTAGAGTTGGCCCAGACACTGAGAAGTGCGTACTGGAAAGTAGGGCATTATTTGTACAGGGAATGGACTGAGATGTGCTATACTCTGTAGTAGTCTAGAGTGACTGCAGCTGGGGAGCACAATGGGGAAGGAAGAAGCAAGGCAGTGGAAGACTGAACTAGAAAATCAGGTAGAAAGTCCAGAGGACTCTGGATGTCAGACTGATGAATTAAGTCACATTAAAGTGACTGAATCCCTTACTGGTACATGGCAAAAGACCTAGTATAAGTCAATTATCTTTAATAAAATGATTTTAAGATTGAAATTACCACATCTTTTATACACTTAATATTATGATAGGATTCCCAACCCTAATCAAATCTTATCACCAAAGGTTAGTATTTTAAAAATTAAATTTCAGCAAATGCTTTTTATAATATCAAAATATCATATAACTTAACATGCACACCATGCATGTTACTCAACAAACCACAAAACCTTGAGTCCAAGCTGATTACCTGTCCGTTGCTCATCTCTTGAAGATGTCGAATAGATGCATCTTTCAAAGGAGAAATCACTCTCCAAATGGCATTACCCCTTTTCCATCCAACCTTCCGATGGAGATTTATAAGCTCAGTTAATACCATCAGGTATAGATGGCAACGATCCAGATCTGAAACCTAAAACAAATATTAAAATCTTTAGGGTACATGATTTTCACAAAGCTATGAGAGTTGAGGCAAGAGATAAAGTACTAAAATCAGATATTTATGAGACAAAAAGTCATTTCTTCCAAGAAGCTTTCCATGATCACTCCATGCAGATCTATTGTCATCCTTCTCTGGGCATACATAAAAACTTTTACATTCAGCACAGTGAGAGCACTTATTACAATTTATTCTTATCTTCCACCTAGATTATAAGACCCTATAAAATAGACACATGTTCTACCAATTCTTGGATCCCACTGGTAGCACATCATAAACACTATGAATTATTTGCCACTTCCTCTGCTTACAATATTCAACTCTCACAAGGAAGATTAAGGTCCCACTTCAACTTACCTAATTAGGAGACTAAGTTTCAGATAGGTTAAATAACTTGCTGAAAATCTTACAACTAGTAAGCCTGTTTAGGCCTCAGATTCCTAATTTATAAAACAGGAATAATGCCCATCATGGTGTGTTTGAAAGAATTACGTGAGAGAAGTAGGTTAAATGTTTAGCCCAATAACTAGCATAAAGTAGTGGTCTTAATTATCAGCACTATAGTAAGATGCTTCCTATGGCACACAGAAAGCACTTAATTCATTAATTTCATCAGTTTTTACCCAGCAATCACTATGTGCTAGGCCCTCTTTAAGGTGGTAAGATATAATGCAGAAATAGGTAAAAAATGCAGGTTTTAGTGATAAATTGAACAGAGTAGTTGAGAGTAAAGGGTTAAAAGTGCCAGAGGGACGATACAATCACTAAAAAAGAAAACCTTAAGGAAAACCCAGAGAACCTACTTACAGGATTAATAATAAGAGGTTCAGTTTTGAATAGGGTAATTTTGAGATAAATGTGAGAAATTCAACTCAAGTTACCAAACAGTAACTGGGCCTTAAGCTCAGAAGACAGATCCAACATGGAGACAGAAATGTAAGAGTCACTGGCATAACTAGAGCTCTGGATATGGATGAGATCACCCAGATACAGCAAAGGGAATGGGAAAAGTAAGGGCCCAGCAAGGTTGTGGTCACTGCTTGGTCACAGCCAGCTACCCAGAGAGACCAAGTAGTTGAACCTGCGGGCTTGGGACCATAGTCGCAGGGGTCATCAAGCTCAACTGGCATAACATACTACACAAAACACTGTTCCACCTCCTACCTTGGCAAGTAGCGACTGTGATCTTAAAAGCCAGCAAGCTGCCATCTAGATGCAACTACGGGTCTCTCCTCATATAGAACAAAGAAGAATGAAGAAAACCAAAATTCAGGGAAACAATTAGTCCTAGCAACTGGTACACCATCTGATCTGCAGCCTATATGACTATGAGACCAGAAGAACTAGATGGTGCCCGGCTACCACTGTCTTCCACTTGAAAGGGGATCTATGTAGGAGATCCTTGATAGAGAGGGAGAACGATGTGGAACAAAACTCAAAATCACTGGAGGAAAAAAAGGGGGGGACCAGGTTTGCTGGTCCGATAGAGCTGGATGGAACCATTGAGACTATGGCCCGTAGCTGCCCTTCGGGTCTGGAATCGAACCCACACCTGTGGTTTCCAGCCAAACAAAAGACAGGCATATGAGTTGAACATTTACCTCAAGTAGATACACTCCTTGGAGACAACAATCATGGGAGAAAGAAGGGCTGCTTATGCACAGGGAGACAGCTCAGGGGACAGGAGCCCATGGAGAGATGGACACTGGGAAGAGGTAACTGTGGGGAGGAGGTGGGAGGGGAGCTGTTGCATTGTGGTAAACTGTGGTCAATGTCATGAGACAAAGTGCATATGAACAGCTATATGGAAAGTGAATTTGCTCTGTAAACCTTCCCCCAAAACACAATTAAAAAAAAAAAAAAAAGTAAGGGCCCAGGACAAGTTTTAATATGCTCCACCTTTAAAGGCTAGTTACTACAGAATAAACATTCAAAGGAAAAATGGAGTTAATGGCTAGAGAGATGGAAGAAAAATCAGGAAAAGATGATGTCACAGAAGCTAAGGCAAGGTAGTATTTCAAGGAAGACATGATCAGCAGTGTCAAATGGGGCCAAAGAGTGAAGAAAAATAAAGGTCAAGGTATCTGCTGGGCTGATGACAAAGGAGTCACTGATGACAATTTGGAGAGAGAGATTTCGGTGTCATGATGAAGGTAACAGCTAGATTAAAACAGGGTTGAGGAGATGTATGTTAAGAGATTAGCTTAAGAAAAGGAAATAGGTATGAAAGGGAACATGGAATTGAAGAGAATCCTTTTAAAATGAGGGACTTTTAAACACATTTAAATGCTCACAAAAACAATCCACTAGAAAAGGAGAGGTTGGAAATACAACAAAGAAGGAGGATAATCAAAAAGTCCCTGAGAGACATAAGAGGATAGAAACTAGATTGCCTTACTATATTGTAACAGAGAAGAAAAAGAGAACAAATTCAAGTATGGGTGAGTGAATAGGATGAGTTTCAACATTTGACAGAAATCAAGGGCATTCCAGTCTGATGGCTACTATTTCCTCCGTGAAGTCAGAGGAGAGAAGTGGTGTGCTGGAGCCACCCCACAAAACCCACTATTCATCTCTCTTTCCAACTAAGTGCCTTGTGTTGGGAGCTTGAAACCAGCCACGTTAATAGGTAAGTGCTACAAAGCAGGGCTTTTATTTTCTTCCAGAGAGTTGTGAAATGAGGGAAAGTATGGACAGAGATTTTAATTAAAGAGTTAAAGTATCAAACAAAGGGACTTAATTGGGTATTCCACTAATAATTTTTTCAAAACAGTCAATTTTTCAAAATAATTTAAAAATGTCACATATTGAGTTTACTTTTTAAAATGTTTATACAAAATATTAAGCTTTCCCTCTTATTTGTAGCTTCAAATTCCAAACAAACAAAAATATTTGTGTTATAAAACGGACATTCATTATACTTCTTTTGTATATGTTTGCAAATATCCATAATATAAGGGTATTAATAATAATGATTAATGGTGCAAAAGTGTAAACAAAAACTGTTACTTCTTTATTAAATGACCTCTAGGCAATTAGGTGTAACAAAACTAATATCATCAATTACTTGGTAAACTTTGTATGGAAAGAAAAGAGACCCTAGATAAACAAATAACTACTGAAAAAGACAGATCTTGAAACACTTTGTGACAACGAATGCCATACCATTCCTCTTCAGTTTGTCATTCTCAGCATAGATTATATGGTTGTCTGATTCAAAATGATAAAACCAATCCATTTCAGCTCACAAATACCTAGGATATCGATCTCTACATGTTCCATTTCATTTTTTATAATTTCCAATTTTCCTAGATCCATGTCGCACATTCCATGTTCCAATTATTAATGGACATCCATATCTGTTTCTACTCATTTTGAGTCAAGCCACATTAGCCAATGAAGGTCCCAAAAGCTTTACTCCATCCGTATCGTTAAAGTCATCTCTATCCTGAGGAGTCAGCTTTTCCCCAGTCAAATTTTGGGTACCTCACAACCTGATGGGCTTATCTTTCCGCACTATATTAGACAATGCTTCAGGGCTATTCATAACGTGTTCCAGTAATATATCAGACAGTGTTTCCCTGCTATTCATAAGATTTTCACTGGCCAATTGTTTGAGAAGTAAATGGCCTTTGCCATCTTCCGAGTCTACCTTAGCCCAGAAGCTCCTCTGAAACCTATGATAATATCCATAAGCCTATAAGGAAGACCAGTTAGTACTACTATTATTCAAATTTACACACCAACTATTAAAGCCAAATATGAGGAAATTGAAGATTTCTACCAACTTCTGCAGTCTGAAATTGACCAAATATGCAATCAAGATGTGTTGATTATCACTGGTGACTGGAATGAAAAAGTTGGAAACAAGAAGAGTTACCGGTAGTTGGAAAATATGGCCTTGGAGATAGAAATAATGCTGGTGATAGCATGAAAGAATTTTCCAAGACCAATGACTTATTCATTGCAAATACCTTTTTTCAACAACATAAGCGACACCTACACACATGGACTTCACCAGATGAAATATACAGGAATCAGACTGACTACATCTATGGCAAGAGGTGATGGAGAAGTTCAGTATTTTTTGGCCAAAACAATGCCAGAAACTGACTGTGGAACAAACCATAAACTGCTCATATTCACATTCAAGTTGAAGTTGAAGACAATTAACACAAGTCCATGAGAGCCAAAATATGACCTTGATAATATCCCTCCTGAATTTAGAGACCATTTAAAGAATACATTTGATGCACTGAACACCAATGACCGAAAATCAGAGGAATTGTGAGATGACATCAAGAACATCATCCATGAAGAAAGCAAAAGGTCATTAAAAAGACGAGAAAGGAAGACAAGATCAAAATGGATGTCAGAAGAGACTCCAAAACTTGCCTTTAAGTGGAGAGTAGCTAAAGCAAATGGAAGAAATGACAAGATAAATGAGCCGAACAGATTTCCAAGAGCAGCTCAAGCAGACAAAGACAATTACTGTAATGAAATGTGCAAAGACTTGGAGTTAGAAAACAAAACGGAAGAATACACTCGGCATTTTTCAAGCTGAAAGAACTAAGGAAAAAATTCAACCCTTGAGTTGCAATACTGAAAGATTCTAGGGGCAAAATATGGAATGATGCAGGAAGCATCAAAAGAAGATGGAAGGAATACACAGAGTCACTGTACCAAAAAGAACTGGTCGATATTTATCCATATCAGGAGGTGGCATATGATCAAGAACCAATGGTATTGAAGGAAGAAGTCAAAGTTGCACTGAAAGAAATGGCGAAGAACAAGGCTCCAGGAATTGATGGACTACCCATTGAGATGTTTTAACAAACAGATGCCCCACTGGAAGCGCTCGTTTATGCCAAGAGATTTGGCCAACTGACTGGAAGAGATCCATATTTGTACCTATTCCAAAAAAAGGTGATCCTACAGAATGTGGAAATGATCAAACAGTATCAATATCACAT